GGGGGGAATGTTGTTTTTCTCAGAGTAAATTGCTGAAAGTGTCGATGACCTGGCTGACCTCCGTTTGTTAAAACCCGGTTTTATCTCAGAGGAGGAATAACGGTTGAAGCTGCAGCGCTTCTCTCGGATATAAAACACTAAAGACACACGAGAGGTTTCTTTGTTAACCTCAGAAGATCTGACGGAGCCTCCTGGGAGCCGCAGTTGTCGAAGACTCGTGGGAAATGTTGTTGTTGTCAGACTAAATTATTGTTGTTTTATCATTAAACAACAACACCACATTAAGTGTCAGCTGCTTACATCTCCTCGGCTCAGATGTTTTTTTGTTCAGTGGGACGTCTGAATGATGTTTGACACTAGGAGGATGTTTTTCTGCGATTATTGATCAGAGATGAGTTTTCCTGATATTTTTAGGAGCTTTTTATTCAACCCTCTGTCTGCTGGAGGCTGTATATTCACACAGCCTTCAGTCTCTGACAACAACATGGTCCTGTGCTAGAAAACAACCAGAGTTGTCTTGTTATTAGTTCATAGACGCTAAATAAATACATGATTGTGCTTCTTGTAGTTTATGACCTACAACCAATTTATTGCCAGACTATATTTAGTCTTTGGGCACAAGGGGCTGTACTGTCTTTCCAGAAATGGTAGAAAATGCCCCGAATAAGCTATAAAAATGGAGGATTATTTATTATTATTTTCAGTACACACAGACTCCTATCTATATATTCCATATAAATAAAGGTTGCACACAACTATTGTTAGTCCGACAGCAGGGGAAAACATTCACTTGAGGGGATGTTCTCCATTAGCTGCAATGCCTATTTATTGAATATCTCTCCAGATCCGCCAATAATTTGTTAGCAGTATGAAAAATATAAAACATTTAACTCCAAAACTGGTTGAAATAGATTACAGACATTTTTTTAAGTAACACAAACTCAGTTTTTGAAATTTTGATGTAATTCGTTTCAACAATTAGTTTGAGTTAAATGAACCAATCTGGTTTTACAGTTTGCTTTAGAAGTTATGGAGTGCTCCGGTCTTCCTCTCCAGTAGATATGTATCTTAGAATATGGACATAAAAGTCCAGTATCGTGTTTCAGCTCGATCAAAGAAGCACTAATGGACCAGAGGCTGTCTTTAAAAGGATACAGCTCTCTGTAGCCATGAAATACATCACAATAATTGCAATGAGAGGTTTGAATTAGTGATCTGTAATACAAGCTGTACGTCAAATAACCTGGAATAACCTCCTGGAAAACGTCCTGGTGGAGCTGGCCCGGAGCTCTGCACACAGTTTACATTACAGAAGGTGATTACAGACGTTCCTGGCATTGCTCGTGTGCGGCGTAGAGTTTCCCCGAAGCCATAACTTCAAATAGAGTTGTTTCCAGAGAAGGAGATAAGTCGGTTCTCCCCCGCTGATCCACTCCACTGATCTCCGTTCTTGATGAAGCACTGGTCCTCCACCCAGCAAACATGCTGCAGGTCTGGGTAATTACAGGGCGCTGGCTCCCTCGTGATGCATTTGTTAATATGGAACTCACCTTCGTGCCTCCGGGCTCAGAAAACAGAGGATGAATTCACTCCAAATGAAATCATGTTTGGCAAATACAAAGCGGCAAGCAAATACCTGTACAGTTCAGGAACTCCCAGCATCCCAGCAAGAGGAATTCAACAGCAAAGACCAGCTTCCTGAACAGGAGATATACACGGTCTGGTACGGCCGGTGGTTTATGTTGTATGTGATTCAAAGAGGTCTGATGTGCTTATTGAAATCACAACTGACCGATAGGTGGGATTAATAATGGAGATATCATCATCCTGAACCAAAGCTACATCCATAGAAACAGAACCGTCTCTCTTAGTGTTTCCAACAATCACCAACTCTGGTTAGGTAGAAATAAATCCTTAATTCACCGACGTAGATGATAAAAACACGCAGTTCAGTCGAGCAGACGGCTATGGGAAAACAAACCACAGAGAGCTGCGATACACACAGGCAGAGGGAGAGAGACACCATGTGACTCTGTCTTTATATAGAGAATAACTGTTAGCTGATGTATTGTTTTCAATTTCATATATAATCTTATATCGTATATATCGTATAAAAACGGCACGGCCAACAAGAGCACAATGTCAGACTGAATGAGTGAAACAGACTGTCTGATGATCAGTGTGCACAGTAGTATACGTACAGTAGTGATTGTTGACCGGTTGCAGGTGACTGTGTCCTACCAGCTCTCACTGAGGCAACCGAATCAAACGCTCCTTTCTTTTCACTCTCAGAGACTTTTGCATTCCACAGCTTTAAAACCCCCACAAAGCTCCTCTCTCTATTATTCCTGACAGTATGTAAGGTGACACCGCTCCTTTCACCCTGTTATTTCTCCTCTTTCCACCTTCCTCCTCCCATCTGCCTGACAGAGCTGAACTGGTTTCAGCTAAAGCCCGGAGAGGAGAGGAAGGAGAGGGGGCTGAAATCAGAGCCGTTCCCTTGGAGGTGGAGGCGGTTTATGGCATGTTTGTGCACGGGGAGGAGGAAGAGGAGGAGGAGCAGTGGGAGGAGAGCGGCAGAAGGAAGGGAAAGGAGGGCATGAAGCAGCGACAGAGGTTGAAGAATTGGGACAAAAGTCTGCTGAGGGAGAGAAAGGAGCTCTGGAGTTTATTGTCAGTGCCCTGAAAGAGGAGGATTAGGAGGAGGAGGAGGGGATGAGGAGGAAGAGTGCTCGTCTCACTCCGTGCAGCTGAACTTGGACTGCGTGTCTAGATCGCACAGAGTGCAGGAAGGGAAATATCCAGGTAGGACGGCGGGGGCAAAGGTCACTCACTCTCTGCATGTCTGCAAAGTTTTTGTGTTGAGGCTCCGTCTTTCAGCTTCTCCTCTCGTCTGTTTTCTGTCTGTTCATTCATCAAAGCTTTCTTTCTCATCTCTCAGGCGACCGCTGAATTTCGTTTATCTGTCAGACATTATTGCTTTTATTTTTACACCTGCCTGCTTCAGTGTGCCGCAGGAGGAGGTGCTGGATTCTCGTTGATGTCTAACAAGCAAACATGCTGTTTTTACCGCCCCTCCAGGGGTTTCTGTCCATGCAGATAGTTCTGGTTTCATCTGTCCAGGTTTGGAAACACAGCCTGGATAATCCACAGTAGTGGTCGACTGATATGGGTTTTTAATGGCTGATGCCGTTATGTAAAGAGCAAAGCATGTATAATACAGATCTGTTCTATAGGAAGTTGAGGCGTATGATTACAGCAGCAGAGTTACAATAACTTTATCACCACCTTCCCAAAAGTGTGTGTGTATGTGTGTGTAACCAACAAACACAGTGGGATAGAGCTGCAACGATCAATCTATTAGTCGGTCTAAAGAAAATAGTTTCAGTGATTTTTTTCAAGCAAAAATGCTGCTTTTCTTTGTCATTTGAGACTTTGGATTTTGGACTGTTGGTTGGCAAAATAAGTAATTTGAAGACGTAACTTTCCAACTCTGAACCTGCTGTGACGTCACCCATTGGTTTGTGGTGAACCATTCTGAATCCTCCAGTTTGGCATTATGGTCGCCGCCATGACCGTTCATCAGAGCCAGCAGTGGTGACGTTGAGCTGCTCTCATTGGCTGCTCTCCTGCTCACACAGGATCTGGTGTTCCAGATAAACAGTAAAATGTGTTTGGTGGAACAGATTTTGAGGAGAAGAAATGGTCCAGCACAGAAAAAAACGATAATGCTCTTAGCCTATAACTAAGTTTTTATCGATTTAAACAAGAGAACGCTTCTGGTTTACTTTCCTCCTGGTGAACCCAAGTAAACTGAATATCTTTTGAACGTTGAGGACGTCACTGTTTGGGACTGATCAACGTTTTTATGACATTTTATGGACCCAAACAAACTAAATCAAGGTAAATTAATGAAGAACCCGGGTTCTTTTTTGAATCAAACAGCTTAAGTGGTAATAAAAATGAATAATATACAAAACCCTGTGGTGGTGTTAGAGGAGAGAGAGAGAGAGAGACGGAGAGAGAAGGGAGAGAGAGAATCAGTGTATCTGTGGGGCTGCAGGGAAATGAAATGAAAAGGTCGTCCCCGGTCACAAACCCACTAATCCCACCTCAGCTTACTCTGATAAATCACAAAGAAATACAGGCGACCTCACCGAGCAGGCCAGCGGGCCCGCGGCACAGCAGATTAAGTCGAGCACGCCTCTGTGACCCAAAGGAATCAAATTAAAATCCAAACGGAGAACGTACCTTACGCTGGTTCCTGTCAGGACAGGAAGTGTCGGACAGTGACATGTTCTGTGCCACAGGCGGATTAACCTGATAGACCTTTCTTCCACACTCTCTCACATTTGCTTTGTGCTAATTTAATTAAACACATTCATTTAGCAAGTTTATCTGGATCAGGACCTTTTAAGTATGTCGGAGTGTTGAGCTGACATCGAGTGGAAGTAAATATATTTGTATCCATTATCCTTCCAAAATATGACATTTGCTCCATAAGCTGATAACATGAGATCATTTCATACAAACATGCTGCACATTTTAAAAAAAGAATAAAAATAAACAACCAATAAATACGAAGGCGAGGCATAATGTTTGCCATGTCTACTCGACTGCTAACATTTTTCCTTTCCTAAACACAAGATCAAAAGGATAAGGAATGGATTACAAGTGCTAGCATGCCCGGCTAACTAGTTTAGTTTACAGTCAAACTTACTTAAAATGTGTTCACAGAACTTCTCTGAATAACTTAAATCCTTCTTTGTATTGTATAGATTATAGATTATAATCAGGAAGCAGTTTGTGTTCTGTTTGCTTCTTTTAAGGGTTATATCTAATCAGAATTTGAATGTAATTTTACAGACATTTTGATGTATTTAATGATTTCTAGAGAATATTCAGCCCTCTGCACCTAAAACCCCAAACATCCTGGAATACTGGAAAACCTGGAAATTTAGACCACAAGTTTTCCGTCTTGTGAAAACACCTGGAACATGGATTAAAATGAACCAAATATCCCTGGAAATTCTTTAATTGTATTTTACCCCCTCACCAGCCTGCGTATTAAGTTTAACACTCGACTGTTGGTTGGATGATTGATTATATAAGGGAGTGCTGACCTGAATTGTCAAGAAAAACAGGAAAATGATGATGATGATGATCACTTCACGTTATCCCCATTATCGGAAACTTCACACATGCACTTTTAATTTAGAGTTTTGACGAAGGAGTTGTTGCAGTTTTTAGAGCTTTAATGATGCTTTGTCAGAGGATTGTGGGGCAGCTACTCAGTGGCTGAAGAAAAGGTTTGTGGCTCCTGAAAAGCTGCTGCAGTCGGAGCTCTGATGTTGGTCAGGAGGGAAGAGGAAGCAGCCTTTGATGAGAGGCTGAGGAGGGAAAAATAGGGCAGGAAGATGCTGAAACACGATAAACAGCGATGCACTTTTCTTCACACGTTGAGTTTTGACACCATCGGTACACAGAAATCCTGAAGGTGACGTTCGTGACGAGAACAGAGCAGCAGACTTGATACTGAGTGCTTAGTCATTATACAGGAGGCGGTTTTGGTCGTTAGTTGCTGTGTCACTTCCTGATTGAACAAGATTTTCCATCAGACCTTAGCCCCAGCGCTCATTATGATGTCCAATCAAACTTTAATAGTTATGGATGTCGACCCGGCGTCTGTGCTTTGGAATCGTTGAGAGTATTAGGAAATAAGGCTCCCATTAAGACTTTACAGACGGGGTGCTGGTTCCTAAATGTGTTAAATCATAAAATAAAAGACTAGGACAGCGCTCCAATTTAAGTTTTTAATATTGCCACACGGACGATATTAAAAAGTTTAATTGGAGTCCTGTCCTAGAATATTAAGAATAAAATCAAACTCTTATCAAAACATTTAATAGTCGACAGTTTCTCTGCTTTTTCTTGTCAGTTTGGTCATTTTGGACAAAATCAGGGAAACCTGAGTGAGTCAGTATTGATCGATCCATGAATGGATTGTTCTGATTGTTTCGGGGTGTGTGTTGTTAGTGGGTGGGGATTTTATCTGTGTGATATTAGCTGATATTAGTTATGCTTGGTGTGATTCCAGTCTGCAGTTGGTTCGCTAATTACTTCACTTATTGCACTAAATGTAGTTTAAGACTCTGGACAGTCATAACTATTGATTGTAAAATGGCCAGATGTTGTGAACTGTTATGCACAGCAGGGCTCTGAGCTAACTGCTAAGATCAGTATGCTAACATCCTGACGTTTAGATGGTTGTAATAATAATGATAATACACTTTATTTATAAAGGCCTTGCACCACTTTCATACAAAACATGCAACTCAAAGGTCTGTACATACATTAAAAAAGGTCCAATGTTTACCATGACCTGAGTTTAGTGTGTGAACATGCTAACATTTCTCTTTCCTAAACCAAAAACACAAGCAGCTAACCAGCTTAGTAGCTACAGTAGCAATCTATTGTTATTTTACAATGCCTAGAGTTAGCATATGATTAGCTACATTAACTACATTATTTTGTGAGGTTACGTTCCTCTGAGAATATTAAGTTAATATTTATGAGAGAGTTTTTCATTTTAATGACACATTGGCAGAAATGGGCTTCCATAACTTTGAGCAGATGAATATGAAAACATCTAACTGTGGCAACCAGAAGAAACGCTGGTTTCTGACTGGAGGTGAATCTGTCGCTGTGAACTGACAAACTGATGTGTGTTCTCTCTGGAGTCTGCATTAAAACAGAGACGAAACTGCTTCATTTAAATGATAAGAAGCTGGGAGGGATCATTAGAGTACTGTATGTAAACAGTGTGTGATGGCGGCGGCGTGTCGCACACGAGAGAATGAGTTTGTTTACAGCAGCAGAGGATAGGCTTTATGTCACCAATGTGTATTAATGGACATCTAACAGGCGTGAGAGAGGAGGAAGAAGTGCAGTGGAGTGGGTCAGTGAGGTCAACAGAGAGAGAGAGAGAGAGAGAGAGAGAGGAGTTGATTACCCGTCTCCACTCTTATCTCTGTCCTCCTCTAATGCAGGAAGCGCCTGCTGATTATTCCCTTAATCAGGACTATCTTCTGTGTGATTAGCTTGGTGCTAAAAAGCCCTTTCAGTGTGAATGGAGGACGCGGCTGCCGGACCAGAGTGCCGCTCTCAGCCTTTAATTGCATTATCATACTGTACATTCCTCCTGACTGACGGGACGCTCCCTGCAGGTACGACCCCAGGAACGTTCACCAGGAGGGTTCCTCTCTTTAGTATTCATCGGAGTCCAAATTTAGTTGAGTTAGAGTTTTTAGTAAATCTGCAAAAGGGAATGTGAGTTAGTGTGCATGTGAATATTGGGAATTGGACTTTAATCAAGTGGCAACCTTTTTCCTTGAGGGACCCCTTTTTATCATTGAGTAAACTGACCATATATTATAGATATTTCATGTTATATTCAATGCATAACAATAACAGTAGAGAACAACTGATAAACTTTATATTGTGTGATATAAAATGCAATAACAGTGATTTGGATGAATTTCGAGCAGATTATTTCCTGTGAACACTGATCAGAGATGAGTATTCCTGATACTTTTCACATTCAGTGTGTATTATGTTTGTGACTGACTGAAACGTGACAGGCATAACGGTTCAGAGATGGGGCTGAGCGCTCACCCTCTCTCTGTGTTATCCTTAAATTTACAGCCATTAGAGCAAGTTATTTGTTGTGCCTCCAACCCGGTGCCACCCACGCAGCCTCCGTGGTCCCCCCAGTGCAGTTCTCAGCTCTGATTAGATGACCGAGGAGGCTGCAAACCGCCGCAGTCCTCCGACGCTTCCTCCTCATATCGCCGGGCCTTTTGTTTTTACAGCTACAATTAGAGCCCAGAAGTGTAAGCGCTTTGTGCAGCTCCTGCAGAATCAACAAAACCTGCCTATTAAACTCCTCTTTAGTGGCACTGTCCCTCACTTTTATATCATCGCTGGGTTTATGAGTGTTGGAGGCTGAAAGGCCAATACACCTCCGCATCCCACAACTCAGCCTGGATCTTATTTACTGACTCTTTTCTCTCTTTTCTATTACCTAAATCTTCCTTTATTCTCTTCTCTCCTATTTCCCCCAGCTCCTGCGTCTTTTCTTTCCTTATCTCTTTTTGTCTTGCACCATCTTTGTCTTCTTCTTTTTTTACTTTCCCTCTTTTCTTTAATCTGCCATCGTCTCTCCTTATCTATACTTTTGTCTTTCCTTCCTCTTCCCATCTCTTCTCTCCTCAGTTTTCCTCCCATCTCAGCACCTTTCATCGCTCTTAATGACATACAGCGCATACATCAACCTCACTAATTAACTCATAAATCATCTCTATGTACTTGGAAAGTTTAAAGCTCTGGCAGAGTGTCGGGGTGGATTTCTGCACCCGCGTTTACGACAGATAATCACACCGTCTCTGCTACCTCACAGTGTTGTCGTTGACTAGAAAAGGCATTTTAGTTTTATAAAGCTTTTGCAGATTGATCAATCTGTCGTTTTCTTCCGGCCACAAAACAAAACTTTACTACAAAACCCCGCAGTTTGCCTTAAAAGTAGCAAAAAGGTTTGAATGCGTGTCTTTAACACTTGGTTACTGGCTGGTTCGCTTGATAGAAACTGGTTCAAGAACAAGAACTAATTAGGTGGAAAAGGGGCTGTATTTCCACTGTAAAACCAACTGTTTTGAGAGTTTTGACCAAAAATATTTGGTTCCCAGGGCTACTGGTTATTGTTGTACCTCTCAGGCAGCGGGTTATCATTAGTTTCAAAGTTCATTTGTGACTGAAAACAGAAACTGGTTCATGTTTGAAAGCTGCAGAACAGATATTAAAGCTATTATCAGCTATTAAATGGAGTGGATGTGATCTTGTCTCGTCAAAGTAAAACTATTGTTTGATCTTAACTGAAGGTCAACTCACTTCTGAAGCTTTTTATTCTGAAGTCATTTCATCAGTGAGTGGAGGGCACTCGTGAGTTGTCTCATTATGTGATCTTGTTCAGAGCAGGGTCGGATTCTGTGAAATGTTTCCCTGTTGAGTTCCAGAGCTGGTGAAGATGATTACAGATGATTACAGATAGTCAGATTGTTATATGATGTTATGTTGTCGTCTATAGCTTCGACATTTTCGGCAGACACATATTTCAGTGCAACAGCACCAAAAGGTTTGAAAGCTCCAGAGTGAAAGGAGGATGAGGATTGAGGAGGATCTATTGTCACAAATCTAATATAATACTTATAGGTATGATTTCATTAGTGTGCCTGAAAATAAGCATGGTTGTTTTTGTAACCTTAGAATGAAACCTTTTTATCTACAGCGTCCGCCATGTTTCTACAGTATACCAAACACTTGCTGTAGATGGGGTTTAAATGGTTGTAATGTGCAACTTCTCCACTAGATGTCACTAAATTCTACACAGTGGACATACTCTATACAGTTCCTACGATAGTTTGTAGCAAGTTCTTCAAAAAGCATCATAGGAATTATAGAGTAGGGCGGAATCATATAAACATTAGGGTTCGGGGGTTCAGGATTAGGGTTAGACTGAGAGCCGTACCATTACGTCAGCGGCTGCGATGTTCAGTGGAGATAAAAGTGTAAAGTTTGCCCTCAGGGTGGCAGTAAATAAAATGTCATTGGATCATGAAATTCTAAATGGAATTGGTGCATCAATCTCCACTTTACATTTTGGTATTTGTTATGTAGATTTTGTCCTGTTGGGGACATTAAAGAGAGGCAAGGGAATCACCAAAAACATCACGCAGGGTTCCCGAAAATATTTTTAGAGACTATATATATTTATTATATATATTTCCAATCATGGAAACACCTGGAAATTGATTTAAAATTATGTTTAATGTGATGTTTACTTGCTGTGGACAATTTAATGTTACAATTAGAGGAAGAGCTGTCCTGTATTGTCAACAATGAAGTCCATCAAACATCCCGGACGGATGAAACTAGAAGGGTGCAGGAAGCTCTGAGGTTGATGTTTCTGGGAGGGCAGTGAGCGACGACCTTCGGGTGCTGCGGGGGAAGCTCATGTGGTTTCTGTGTTTTAACGTGAAGCTGATTCAGCTGCTGAGGAGAGAAAAGAGCGGCGATGGCAGAACGTCCTGACAGAGACATATGGAGCGTGTCCTCGGTGTAAACACGGAGCTGCGGATCGTCATTAAAAAGATCTACGCTCACGTTTCTCCTGCAGCTGATGACACCTCAGAAAGAAAGTGTACAGTGCTTCTTTAAAGTCAACAGCTCTGTTAGGTTCTTGATTTAGTTTGAGTTCCTCGTTCTAAAACCACAGAGTGTCTCTGTCCTTTTATCAGCTGTCTTTGGACTTTTGTTTGTGTAGAAGATGTGTTGGTAAATCTCTGAAGGCCGACTGTGTTTAGTCTCTTTTTCTTCTTGCTGCACTTTAATGTGTCCTCCAAACTGTCCTCAGAAATAATTATAATGTTCATAAATCTGCCACATACACAAGGCCAGTCCGTTAAAGAGTTTAGTTTTGTCTGATGAGGTTTTTACCTCTCAATGAAACAGAGAACTGAAAATAAATCATTTAGATATGATGGGATATTAGTTCTTTTGTGACACTTTACAGGAATTTTGTAATAATTACTTTGGAAGTTGAGTAAAAAGAACTATGAATGCGGTGATAACTTAAAGTGAAATACTGCAGACGCAGAGTTCATTTGGTACATTTCCAACTAATTAATTCCACCTTGTTGCTCTGTATCCAACATAGTCTTTTACTCAGTTCAAAGGAGTTCAGCGGAACATACAAATATGTGCAATTTACAGGCATATTCACCGCTTTGAATTCAGCTCGATGGATAAAGTTTCAGACAGCAAATATTACAAAGACAACAAATATAGTGAGTTTAATGTGTTTTCTGACATTTTATGTGTGAAATATAAAAAATAAAATATGCCTGTATCTGGAACTGATCAGGTGATAAATGTGTTAAACATGGAATTTGCGAGGGGGAAACTCAGCAGGACGTTCTCAGTATTTTTCTGTTGTTTTTAGAGTTACAGTTTGTTGAATCCATCATTAATCTTCAACATTTGTCAGAGTTTTGTTCCCTCTCAGCTGCCAAAGCGTACCAGCGTCGCGTTTATCCCAAAAGCCGACAGAAATCAAATGAAACTTGGTAACTCGGTGTGGATTCAGCTTAAAAGTTTGCGTCTCGCTGCTGTAAACTCTGCTGTTTTCTATTTGGCAGCGGCCTCTGGTCTTGTTTCTTTCAGTCTAATTAAAGTGGGATTAATGAATCACATTGTCTCAGCACACAGAGGGAGGCTGGCTCAGACCGGCAGAGAGAGGGTTTAGAAAGCTGTTACAGCTTGTTCTGGATTTTCTCCTTTTCAGGTTTCAATGTTTCCATGTTACAAATGTGACTTCATTGATTCCCCCTTTCACTTCAGGTTAGCCTCATTAGACTGAAACTATTTCCATCACTTGAGTTAAGTTAAGTTAATATATCTCTAATGTGTGCAATAAAGAACTGCAGGGATGACGCATTTGTGTAATCCAGTCTGGAAGTTAGCATTGTCCTGGTTCCTTTGACAAAAACCCAATGGGATTTCTTCATTATTGCAGGAAACAAAACTCTGTGGTAAACAAAGGTTGATGATACTTAAATGTTTTGTTCCACCGACAACCTCTGTCTCATTTAGCCTCCTGTTAGCGACCACCTTTTATAAGACACATAAAAGCTTTTAAACATTCAGGTATTTACTGACGGATTTAGAATAAAACATGGAAAAAAAAAAAAACCTCATTGATGGTTTGTTTTAACCAAGTTGACCCTCATGCACTGGACTGGAGGTCTTCATGAGAACCCTGGGACCTGAGTAGTGCTGTATCTGTTGACTACTTTAGACCCATGATCCTCTGGTCTGTATGAAACAGGTGACCAACACGTTCTCATCTCAGGTCAGCAAGTACCGCTTTGTAACGCCCATCAGTGCCTCATACGGACACACAATGTAGCCTTTAGCGTCTGTGTGAGACACCTTTCTAACAGGGTAAACTTTGTTAATTGTCACAGTTTACTTCGGTTTAGGAGAATAGATTCCCGAAGTGGAGGATGAACGGAAAAATCATGATTTGTACGTTAAGTAATACAAGTTACTTTGGCCTTACTGCAGGAACAAGTCATGTGACGCAACCAAAGTCAAAACAAAACATCTGTGTTTGACGACCTGGGAACGAGAACGGGCTCATCGGACTGTCTTCTGGTCCCTTTTTGACCGTTTTGATTTCTGCATGATGAGTTTCAGGAGGGTTTCCACTGGTCTGTTTCAGATTGGGTCTAAAATGTTGGACCAGCTCATAATAAACCAAAGACAGTTGTGTTGGAATCTCTCTGTTCTGGCAGAAGAAAGTAAGCCTTGTCGGACTCAATAAGAGACGAACATTATCTGCTCAGATGGATATTTTTGTAGCTCAGTCTGTTTGTCTGACTTTGCATTCGTCTCTCTTCAGATGAAATGATGCTGCAGGGACCCGACGAGGGACTGAGCCCTACCTGAAGCTCCCCCTTCCCTCCC